TAAAGAGATGACAGTATAACCTTCAGCAAGAAAACAACCAATCAGAAGACGTTACCTCCCTGCTAACAATAACGAATAATAATATACATAAAATCTATAAATACCTGTTGATTTTCTTAACAAACGATCTGTTAACTGGACCTTGTCTTCTGTCGTTAAAGCACTATTGAGGCTTTAAATTCCTTGTCTATTTATATTACTTTCAATAATAATCTTTCTTACATTTCCTAACAGTTCAAATGCTGTCAAAGCAAATTAGCAAGTCATGTGAATACACTAAATATAATTATGTGCAACTAACACAGTGCTCGAAACGTCATCCAGTTATGGATACTGCATCACTCTGTGTTTGTGTTATGTATATCCAATAGACTTATCTAATATGCAGTGGAATTTTTTTTATATTTGATAAAGACACAATGATACAGTAATATTATTATTTACTAGTGATAACGTTTTGAGCGCAATCCAGTGTTCACAATCATATCAAGGCACTCACATATCACTTTTCAATACTTCTTATCTTTTCATGATAATATTTTGCATATCTTTGGTATTTTTCTCGAGTCATTCCTATTGCATGCATAAGGTGTAGAATAAATGAGCACAGATCACCGTATAATTCGTTTTGGACTTTCTCGTCGATTGATTGATTGGGCTGGAATGCTCGTCTTCAGGTTGACATGTCGGCTCCTTGCGCAGACGTTTCGATGATGTCAGACCACTTAAGATGAAGTATACTGGCGGATGGCGACTAGCAGTGTAATCCAAGACAATGTGAATTTCGTCCTATTCGGGACTCATCAGACAAAGAATGTACCAACTTTCCTAGTCAGTTAGTAGGTGACCGAGTTCTTCCCAATGAGGCACTAACCCAGTACTCATCCTTTCAAGCCTCAAAGTGTTATCCACTAGACCACTTTGGTCGCGAGAACCATCCCTCGTGAAATAGGCTTCAGACAATATTTAAATCAATTTGGACTTTCTCGTTGACTGACTGGACCGGAGTTCTCGGTGTTGGGTGATATGCCCAAGTGATCTAGTGGATAATGCTTTGGTATTTGAAACTATGGTTACTGGGTTTGAGTGTCAGTGGGAATACCATCACTCACTAGGGAATGAAGGTTCACCTGGTTGACGGGTCCCAAATAAGAGGAAACCTGTGTTGTCTGCAATTCCACTGGTTGTTACCATTTGACGTGAAAAACAATTTATTTCATCTTCTAAATGTGTAACTGATAATCATACATCCGGAGATTTTTAGCTGTCATAGGTTAAATACACCAAGGCATCGCGTATGCCTCACCTTTGTATTTCAAAAGTACTAGAATGCTGTAGTCGGTTTTTAGGCCGACCCCTTGCTCTTTCTCGCATGACTATAGTGATATACTTAATTATATTCATCAACTTTTCAACTAATTCCAATATTAGTTCCTGTTGGTGTGTCAGAAATACTTTGGGGTTATGCTACACATACACCTATAGTCTCCGACCTCCATCTGTACGTTGGAAAAGTGCCAATTCACGAGCACTTCAGAACTGTATCCAATATAGTCAGTATCAGGACCTTAATAGGAATGGGGAGACTAGGCAAAGGTGAGAAGAGATCTCCAAAGCTTTAACACGTCTACTAAACAACGCTCTGACAAAAGTACTGCCTGTATCTTCAAAAGATAATCGGAAGTAGGTCTACTTTGAGTTCTTGTTAGTGTACCCCTCTTGGGTGTTGATCGCTTATAGAGCACTGTGTAATCTGCAATAAAAACCAACTACCACTGAGATCTGTATCCAGTACCACAAACACCAATGAGGTCGTTGTTAGTTAACATGCTGTTTGTCTATCAAAAGTTGCCAGATGTTAATAGTAATAATAATGACGACTGACCTTCTGTAAGCACCTTATATGTCACAAATACAGTACTAGACTCGTCCTTTATAAGAATAGGAGAAAGAACGTTAAGAACCACCGGAAATTTCTTCTAGTATGAACACAAATTAACTCAGTATTTATGTTTTTAAGTTATCGCTTACGTATTCCTACGCCCTGTTGAAAACGGCTCAATTTGATTTATAACTGTAAATAGTATGTGCGACTGATGAGGACTACGGTCGACGAAACGCAAAACAGACCTAGAGCATTACATTAAAGGCATAAGTAAGTTGTAAAATAGGCACACTAGAAGAAGCAGAAGCTTTGTAGTTTAGTTGACCTATCTATTCGGTCGATTAGACGGAGGTAACATAACACACTAAAGATTGTACAGGAAATAAATGCCAACCAGAAATTGTATATTCTGAATAGAACTGTATGTAATACCCAAACTGGTGACCATCTAAACACCACACTAATTTATGCGACGTGTACGTTCTAGTGGCCAACTTGCACTAAGATTATCCATCACACACACAAACACTTGCCTAAGGCTAATATATTCAGTTCATAGTAAAAGTGACATTTAGTTGTGTAGTTGTAAGCTAGGAAATGCTTAGGTTGAACTGTTTACGTATGCATAGAAGATTATTATCTCCTTGTCAAAAGCATAAAATCTCTCCATTATACATACACATTAAGTAGTACACATTTTTAAATATACCTCCCCCCACCCAATTTCTAAGATTACATGCCTTTATGTCAGTCAAGGTAGTTATGATCAAGTGATCTGGAAACGATATTCTAATTCTAACATTGAAGACACTTAAATTTTAAAAAATAGTTGAGACTTACATACAGTGTGATATGAAGCGACTAAAATAATAGGCTTCAACAACCAATCAGAACAAATTAAACCATGGTGATGAGGCAGTATATTTATTATAATACCACAGAGTGTAAAAGTAGATGGTAAGACACGATAGCCAAGATACATAATCAAGTAATGAAACCGTTATTTATTTCTATACTGTTTGTATTCACTCACTGAGAGTGTGATTTGTCTAACTACATTAAACGACATGAAATAGAATGTTCAAATGCACATACAGAGTATTCTATTGCTAATGCACTCACTATTCAAGTGTGGGAATAGTATTCACACGTTAACATCAAATATACAATGATTTTTACTGTGAGAATAGGATTACATTAGACCAATTGTCTGTATCAAACACACCATCACAATAGAATTGACTACGTTGAAACTCAAGTCTATACAACACTAATTTAACTGACTATTTTTCTGGGCTTAACTCCTGATACTAGAAAGCGTGTTAGTCTTCATTTTTTTATGGGTTAAGGTAGGCTAAATTATTTAAAATAATCAATATCTAGTGGTCAACCGAGTTGTCATCCTTATTCTGTGTTGAATCTACATATATATATATATATAAACCTCAACAGCTGTATTATTACATATTAGCAGTCGTAACCACCCTCACTGGGTAGTGTGTGTGTGTGTGTTCTAGACCCATTTCAAAACTCAATTGAATTTTAGATTTTCCCATCGATTGATTGGACTGAAGTGCTCGGCCTGGGTTGACATGTCGGCTTCTTGTGCAGATGCTTCGATGATGTTTTGGCATGTAATTCGAATTTAATTGGCGTATGGTGACTAGCAGTGGAATCCAGGTGTACATCCAGTTGACGAGTCCCAAACAGGACGAAATACGCATCCTGGATTCCACTGCTAAATCACCATACACCAATTAAATTCCATTTCAAAATTGTTTCTAATTATTTAGGAATTGCGAGTCTGTTTCTCTTCCTCTGGTTTTTGCGTCAGTTTTTATCAGAATGTTTAAAGGAAGATATAAAAAAAGGGTAGAACACAGTGTCCTGTTACCATGGTCTACACCACAAGCATTTGTTATTTTACACAATGGAAGCTGGAAAACAGTTCGTCCGAAGTGGGATTTTTACTGTTGATCGATCGTAGAATGTTTTCAATTATTGTCTAACCCTCAGAGGTTGTCTTAAAATTAGTAGTAGCAGCACCTTCGGTTTGGTTTATTTAGGAATAAAATAAGCTTTTCAGTTGGACACGAAATCATCAGCGTTCAGGTTATTCAATAACAGCATTATTGCGTTGACTTCTACTAAACTGACATTCCCATTGAATATCCCTCAAATAAGATATTTCCCGTAGTAAACAACTACCTCACTGTGCGTCGGTGGCACAGTGGTTATGACTCTCACCGACCAGACACATGGTCCAGAGTTCGATCCTTTGCCGATGCACACCTGATATCAATGGTCGGTCTGCAAAATTTGGGCTACCGATATCACATGCTGAAAATTCCATACTTGTACCAAAAATATGGTGTGATGTAATCAAAAATAAAAAAATAAAGAGGAACCATGAAAACTGAGTTTTTTTTACTGAACTCCGTTACCCAGAATAGACCATTTATGTACTAGGCTATAGGCCCAACAAGTATTGTGCGACGGCTAATGATACTACGCAGTTTCCAAGGCCGAAGTAAGTAGTTGACACATTGGAGCCGTCGACTATATGTCGAGCTCTTGGCCTAAGCCAATAAAGCCACATCTATCCTACACTGCCTTAGTAGCAAATCTATCGAGACACATAAATATCCGTATTATTATTATTATTGTATCCTTTAGTTCCTAGAGGAACATAGGGCTTCAGCTGTGCACCTCCATTGCCTTCTGTCTTCTGACAACTTTTTCACCCCGCTCCAGGTCTGCCCACATGCTTTCATCTCCTCCTCGCATGACCTCCTCCAAGTCACCCTTGGACGACCAACTCGCCGCCTCCCTTTCGGGTTCCACTCGATCAATGGCTCGTCTAGTGATGTCACTTGATGGTTTCCTCAGCGTATGGCCAGTCCATCTCCACTTCTTCCTGCCTATTTGTTTCACAATCGGTTCCTGATTGGTTCGCTCCCAGAGATCCCTGTTTCTGATCTTTTCTGGCCGGCCATCTGATCTTGAGTATTGAGCGAAGACAACTGTTAATGAAGGTCTGAAGTTTGCTTGAGATGCTCTTTATGACTCGCCAAGTCTCTGATCCGTATAGTATAAATATTTGTACCTAGTGTTAAATTCAGATCATTTTCCATATCGATAAAGAGTCGTCCAGAAGTCTTCTATAGCCTATCAGAATAACCTAGATGACAAAACGCAGATGTCACTGTTAAAAGACATCATCAATGGTAAAAGTATACAACTACAAGACCAAAACGAAAAAGGAGGGGTTGAAAATTCGATAACCAAGACTAATTGCCGATAGGCTGACAAACTCCCTCTGTGCCCTCCAACACGCAAGCTCATCACTAAGTGTATTCACAAAGTAGATTATTTCCCTATACTCGCATAATGACATGTCATTGCAAGACGAAGCATAAAAGTAAGCACCGGAAATTGCACTGACTTCATTATTTCATAATGTAATCATAATATGTAATGGTGCTGGGAAATATACAAAATATACAAATGAATAATGAAGAAATTCTTTTTTAAAAAAGGGGACAAATCAAGAGCGAGCGAGAGAGAGATAAACTGACAGCCAGGCAGACAGCTGGAACATGCATGAATACATTGACTGTACTGTATACACAAAATATTCAAATATGTGAATATAATACACTTAAGATACTACTACATATGTATATCGAGAATTTTTGGATTATTCAAAGTAAAAAAGGCAAAAAATGAGGGAAGTTGAGGAGGGGCATGTATATTTTTCGGCGGGTGTTGTTGTTGTCCTGATGAAAACTCACCCCTGTTGTACTAACATCACATGAATGAGAAGAATAGCCAATACAACACAACAGAAAGATATTACCGGAGCAGGTTTCCAGTTCTACGCATACAGAGTGTCGTCACAAAAAGAAAAACAGAATTAAGATGGTCTGCGCTTATGTACGAAAATAACAAACAAACAAACGTAGGGATGAAAAGAATGAGAACACAATACAATACAAGGGGACTAGATGTGATAAATGCTGAAAATTACAAAAAAAAACGTGCGTTTCAACAAGCCACTGCAACATAATCAATCAACCGACCGATATATATGTACTGATGTGACAGTAGTTGAGATAATATTCTTATATGAAACAAAATTGGCATGGAGACAAAGATGTGTATACACATATGTATGTATGTAGAGAGAAATGAAATTAATTTGTATATATATAAATAAGAAATCTGATTAATAATCTTTGTTACAGACAGACACGTCAAACACATTTACACCCACACATACACATGCGGAAGAATTACCGAGATAGATGACACAAATATCATCTGTCGTCTAAATAGTATCCCCTGATAATGGATGGATTTGTTTCCGCGTATCATTGAGCTTCGGTTTCCTTATTCGTATCATGATGGAGAAAAAAAACAACAGAGAAAAATCAATACCAGTGATGTATGTATGTATATATCCAGCAAAGCAAATTATGTGATTTACCGAAAGCCAACATTCACTGGGCAGTACACTAACTTCAACAGTTGGGTACCTTTAGGGAGAAAGAGAAATCTTATTCACTCCTTCTGCTCCAGAATTCGTAAAATCTGATCTGCAGAGACAATCGATAGGGAACTAGATAACCTTCGATCAAATCTCCTTAACAATGGTTATCCTTCAAGGTTCATTGAACGTAACATCAATAAAGAATCCCCCCCCCCTAAACAAATCACAGTGCCGAAGAAAAAACTGTTTATGAGTCTAGCATTCAAAGGTGACACCATTTCGGAGTTGATCAAAAATAGGACGAAATGCGCATCCTGGATTCCACTGCTAGCCACCATCCGCCAATTGTATATTGATTAAAAATCGTTTATCTAAATGTATTAAACTCACTTTTCCTGCAGCTGACTTGCATCTAGTTTTTACCAGCCGAAATATGATTAGACAATGCGTCAAGGATAGATTACCGCTTTTGTCCACATCTATGTGCATTTACTCTTACCTGCTCCTGTGGAGCTGATTATATTGAACATTGTAAGCGTAATCCCCGAAAACGTGTAGCTGAACACTATTCGGTTTGGTTAATGAAAGGCGAACGTAGAACTGCAAAGTCGTCTACTTGTGATCACCTGTTAGAGTCTGGTCATTTAGCCCCACGTGATTCATTTTTCAAAGTTATCTACATGGCAAAATCGAATCGCTCAAAAAGTTTACGTTTTCTTCACTTATGCATAGCCTAAGCTTTAGCTATACATGAACAGAAACCTAAATTATGTGTTCAAAAACGTGTTGTCAAGCCCCTCCATTTCTTTACCTTGGTCATAGTAATGTTCTTTCTAGTTTTTATTTTATTTTACCACTTGAATTCTTTCCACTTCACTTCACATCTTCATTCATATCGTAATCGTACTCCTAATTTTTTTAACAGTTTTTAGACAACACTTGACATTTTTAAAACAGTTTTGATATCAACTCGCTTATAAAACAATCTTTAATAATTTTGTAAACCATCCATTTCAACTCTACGCCTTATAACACCTTAATTATCATTATTCCTATCACATGTATATATGTGTATTGACTGAGCCACTTAATAACCTTTTTCTGTAATATAAATACGACTGTACAGCTTGAAAATGAAGTCGGTGAAAAGAAATTTCTTCGCTGAACAAAAAAAAACTGTGTTTTTACTTATGAATAAATGGGTATTTTTCATGATATCAAATTATATGTAGCAATTATTAACAACGGAATATATGAAATGCAAATATATTACCTTAGCACTTTTTTGAGTTTTACGAGGTAATTTCGTCGAAAGTACAGGTGGTGATGGTTGTAGTGAGGATGATGATGATGAGTTGATTTGAGATTTTTTTGATGTGACTAATTTTCGTTTCTTTAAACGAGAATTCTTTGAACGTGGGACTGATGATTTTGTTGGACGTATTGCCGATTCATTGGGTTTATCATTATCTTTATACTGAGATGAAATATTAGCATTATTATTGATTGAATCCAGGGTCCGTAAGTGCTTTGGTTTCTCATAAGCTTGTATTGAATGCACAGTAGCTTTATGTGGTCGGAAATGAACTGATGAATAGGCGGAGAGACGGGATTCTAAACGAAGAGCTAATTGAACATCTATACAATAGTGAAAAGTAAAGTTATTCAATCAATAGTTTATAATTTTATGTTTATAATTCAAGTTTTTATATCCATAAGGCTGTAGCGGTCTCATCTACTCAATAGACCACAAGTTTAGAAACCGCCAGTTAAACTTTTACTTTTTTTACTTTTGATCACAGCTTAATTCCACACTGTATTTTTGGTACAAGTATGGAATTTTCAGCATGGATATCGGTAGCCCAAATTTTGCAGGCCGACCATAGATATCAGGTGTGAGTCGGCAGGGGATCGAACCTCGGACCATGTGCATAGTCGGCGAGACTCCTAACCACTGTGCCACCGACGCACATACATTGTAGACTGATGTCTGGAGATTTTTTTAAGGTATTATTGTGTCTGTGAGAAGTGTGTGCCCAGCTCAATCACAAATTCAGTGTCACTTAAACAACCACTTGTGGTTCCATGCATTAGGCATGCATTGGCCCACACCTGATGTGTGTATAGGGACTGGTTATGCTACCCGGGGTTTCCAAATCACGGCGAGTGAGGTGGGCCTCGAATCAGGGACCTGTTGGTTGAGAGTCTAGAAAAATAAGTCAAAGCTGCACAGAAGTTTGTGCACTGTGGAATGAACTGATTTATTACACTCCACAATCGTGTTGTGAGTCGCATATCTGTTAGGGGTTGACCTTTAATACCTAGTTATAGATTCTCTCTCATTCACCACATTTTCATTCCATTAGTTCATTTTGAACTTTAAAATACAATTGTTCCAATCGTTATTGTTTTTCACTAGAGGTTTTTAACCATTAAGTAAACATTCAATCGTTGGTTTGTAGGGATTTGATTGATTAGTTGCAGGATTTCATCAATGAGCTGAAATCAGTTAGAAAACCATTAGAAAATCACCTGGGAGGAGTACTTGACATCTGTTTTGTCCTAGTCTCTCAGGACTTTTCGTCAGTACACACCCATCGCCACAGTTCGAACCCAGAACCTTCTGGTTACAAGGCAGACGAGCTTGTAGACCATTGAGTCACTAGCACCCGATCCAAAGGTCAGCCCATGAATTCCAACTGCTGCCAATTCATGGCATAGCGCGACGACTTAGCAATGTCTTCTTCAATGAGTTACTGTCTCACCTTCAACCCGCTGCAACCTACTGGTCAGGACTTCCCACTAGAACTCCAGGTTAACTGCTTGAATAGGGCCAGTCGCTAGTGAGCATCAGATTGGTATTGGTTTGGTTTAACAGGGTTCAAACAACACACTGTAGCACTCCAGTGATGAAGAGAATAGAATACAAATACCTATTAAAAGTGTCCTCAAGAAGAATGAATACACGTACAATTTCATTTTTTAAAAATTTTAAAACTAGATCAAAATGCCAGCAAGAAAACATTAAAAGACCACAAGAAAATTCATTCTACCATATATATATATATATATATATATATATATATATATATATATATAGAAAGTAACTCTGAAATAACGGATAGAATACAACAACCATTTGAAACAAACATGGCACACAAGCCAACACAATTGCTTCATTCAGTATTGTGCAAACTAAAGGATCTAACAGCAAAAGAAGATAAGATCATCAATACCAGATACAAAATGAATTGCATAAAGTGCGATAAACACTAAATCGGTCAAAAAAGGGGAGCCTTCATCGACTCATAGCCCAAGAAGCTACATTAGCTGTGAAGTCACGACATGTATTCCTTCGTATCGATGCATGTAGATAGTTTAGGGACACGAATTTGATTGGGAGAACGTAGAAATATTGAAACAGAGGGAATTTCTAGAAGCCTGGTAGTACTCAGATGAATCAGACATTAGCACACGCATTACACTACAGATTATATTTACCAATTGATAAAAAATAAGTGATATGACGGGGGAAGCTCAAATTCCAAGTCAATCAAGACGCAAATTAAAAACCGATCACAACACTGGTTATCAGAAGATACAATTCTATCATTCATGGAGAATTGATTTTTATATTAAAGCCTGCGCTGAAGATATTGTCTAGAAGGACGATGAAGGCTTCTCAGTTAAATCAACCAGTTCAGAGGACACAACTCAATCAAAATCTTGATAGCGTTATTAGAAGACGGAGATTATCTGAAAAATGGGATGTATTTGCGCTATACATTTCGAATAATCTGATCCCTAACACACTTACTTGTCAAGTCAATATATATGGAAAAGTTAAATTAAACAAAGTGACAAAAAAGAATTTAGAATAATTAACACAACGTTTGGTAATCCAATCAAATAAGGATTACCAAGGTAGGTTAAGAGTAGTAATAAACTGTTTTTGAATACACAAGGGGGGCTTAAGTTTATGAATAGCTATAGCCTCAACGTATTTCGATAAGCGCCCTTGACCATTTTTATAGATGACCTTAAAGGCTGAGTTAACATCGATCTTATGGTTCATCTCGATTAGATGTTTAGCTATAGACGAAGTTGGTTGTCTGACACCTGTATCTATTGTCTTGTCACAAATCATGTTTTTCTAGCCATTTTGAGATACGCTCACCCACCCTCACGTGCAAAGCGCGATTACTCCTCCCTATGTATATGTGACCACACACACAGGAAAATTGGTAAATTGTGTGGGATGTGACACAATCACTTGTGCACTTTTGAAGTTTACAGTGAAGCATATTTTTAGCTTTTTCCATAATTACAAGCTGGGCTGCATAGTAGGTTCTACGGATGATCGAATTCAACCTTTGTCTCAAAATCCTACTGTTTCACAATCGGTTCCTGATTGGTTCGCTCCCAGAGATCCCTGTTGCTGATCTTTCCTGGCCATGTGATATTGAGTATTGAGCGGAGACAGCTGTTAATGAAGGTCTGAAGTTTGTTTGAGATGCTCTTTATGACTCGCCAAGTCTCTGATCAGTATAGAAGCACTGACTTTACATTGGAGTTGAAAATCCGGATCTTATTTTTGATGCTGAGTGCTGTTGACCTCCACACAGATTTGAGAGTAATGAAAGCTTGTCTTGCTTTTCCGATTCTGGCTTTGATGTCCTTGTCAGTTCCGCCTGTAGTTGAGACGATGCTTCCCAGGTAGGTAGGTGAAGGAGGTTGTTTCTTTCAGGTTCTTCCCACTTATGCTGATAGTTGTCTGTTGTTGTTGTTGCTGTTGATGTTGGCTAGGAATCTTCATCATCTCTGTTTTATCTATGTTCACGTGAAGTCCTATCTTTGATGCTTCTTCTGCCAGCTTGTTGCTTTTCACTCGCATATCTTCCAGTTTGTGGGAAATCAGACATATATCATCAGTGAAGTCCGGATCCTCCAAGTTTTTTGTGTGAGTCCATTTTATGCCTGTTCCCTCGTTGGTTACCGTTGTCTATCGCATTATCCAATCAATTGCAATCAGGAAGATCATTGGAGATAGTAGGCAACCAGCCAGCCTTGCCTCACTCCCGTCCTCACTTCGAAGGCTTCCGTAAGTTTCCCGTTGTGGATTACTTGGCATGCAGCATTGTCGTATAGCTATTGGATGAGAGGTATAATTGTCAATGGGACCCCGTAGTAGCGAAGTAGTTGCCAAATCACCTCTCGATCGACGCTGTCGAAGGCCTTTTCAAAGTCGATGAAGTTGAGATAGAGAGGGATTAATTGTTTTTAGTCAAAATCATTCACCAGAGCTATAAATCTCTATTATGTTCGTTCTATTTGTTTTTCCGAACTAATCAGGGGAACTGGTTGTATGGACTTTATTGAACAGACAAGACTGGCGAATAATATATATATATTCACCCGCATTTTAATGGCGACATGAATGTTTTTACTGCATTCCCCCCCCCCACACACACACCAAAAATATCCATGAGTATACCAACTAATAATAGCGAGATAAATGATTGCATAGCTATTCCTTCATACCTTCCATACAACACATAGTCAGCCTTCCCCGCCCCCCCCCCCAAACACACGCAGTATACAAGTGATTCACAACGCAACTTTCAACACCCGAGAAGAGCAGAGATCTTGATACGAAAAATGACTAAATACGTAATAAAAACAGGAGTTTTTTCATCCCACATTTACTTTACTACTACTAATAGACTAATTAAGAAAATAGAAACTTGATATGTTACAACACGTGTAAATTTCTGTCTAGATTCGATATTGCTTACCAGGTGGTTTTAATACACAGTAATTTTAGGGCAGTAATCTTCCTAGTTTACCAGGCAGTCTAGAAATCTTAAAAACAGAGGGGATGTTAGGCGTGAGGCTGGCGATCCTTCCTCGGAAAATCAATCAAACTGCTACAGAAGAGACTTCAGAGAGCAGAAAATATATTCTTTAAATAAGCTTATTCTTTGCTGGAATCAGAGAAAAAGTCATGTAAGGTGGTGGAAGCCTTCCAGAAACCAGTCAGTCAGTAAGAGGTACCATTATTCGATGAAAGCTTGGAAACATGGAATTTCCACCAAAAATGAGAAATGGACTATGTAACAGACTTTGAGGGAGGGGGTGAGAAGGTGGACATACGTTGGATCGAGAAAAAGAACTGAACTTCGTGAATTCTTTATACTTAATGCCCCACACTCTAAGATTTACGGGAGAAAACCAACAGGTTGACAGAAACGGTAGCGAAGATAGCACTTCACTTGAACATAATAAATGACAAGTGAAGGTACCTGCCCAACTAACAACAACGACGACCATCCATCGCAACATCAGTGGAAGTAATGTAAAGAAAGTCATGTGTCTCAATTATCTGACTCAGCAGCTTCGTTTCAACCACGAACACTACAGATTAGAATGTCGAAGGTAAGACAGACCTTCATTACTTGTTGCATTCAGTATAAGAAACAAGATCTGCATCACTTTCAACACTAATGTCAAGTAAGTGCTTCGCTAAGTTTCAGAGGCATGGCGCGTCACCGGAAGCCTTTTCAACAGGTTACTGTAGACTTTCATGAACAGGAGGCTCCTTTGCTTGATACTCGAGATCAAATGGCCGGCAGCCATAAGGAACTCCGGCAACTAACCAACCAAATATGCAAAAGGGAATATAAAATGGACCAGGCATATTTTGGAGAGACTGATGAGTGACATTATGTACACCACGCCACCGTGTGGAACCCAAATAGGGGTCGACGCAGTTTAGACGTGGGTCAGAGAGTGACATGTGGAAGATTATCATATAAGCTGAGTAGTTGTAGAACCAGTTAGAAATACTGCAGAAAATAAAGTGAAATAGAGATGTTCTGCTGAAGATCTCTATGTTCCACTCGGAATCCAAGGGAATAATAATACTTGTAAAATAATAATTATAAATAATTATAATAGCAATGAGACACCCTTTACCAAAATAAATCTCAAAGGTAGTTAGTTCTTATAGTCTTTCGACAGGAGGGAAACAATGTTTCACACTACACTCGGTCAAGTGTTAATGCGTTAGTTAAGGTGTTGGACCACTTCACGCCTTACTATTAAATTCAACCTCAGTGCATACCTCGACCAGCGGTAGACATTTTGGATCAAAAGTTTAGATAAAGATGGAATTAGTGATTCCATCACAAAGTGAAAAAGTATCACACATTTACTGGATGACATTTTGAACATGATTCAGATTGCTCATGATCATATCAAATTATAACTACTGTTTGACTGTGTAATATACCTAAAAAACAAATTAATGTGAAATTACATACTGAATGGAGGATTTCATCATAAGCTGACATCAGCTAGAGAACCACTGGAAAACCTGGGAGTACTGGACACCTGTTTCGTCCTAGTTTGGGACCCCGTGGGTGCGTACTGACGAAGTGTCCCAAACTCGGACGAAACAGATGTCCAGTACTCCCAGGTTTTCTAGCTCATGATGAAATCTTCCACGCAATCAAACAAAATCCCTACAAAACCAATACTTGAGAATTACATACTATCACAGTGGTGCCCAGTTTTTACGCATACATTGTTGGAATCAGTGAGGCAGCCGGTTTCAACGTACATCCCCCCCCCCTCTGGCCCTCAAAAAATATGCTGAATTAAGGTAACTTTATTTCGGAATAGAAAAAGTACAAAGCATGAGAAATAGAAAAAAACAAACTTAAAAGAAGGCTAAACCCACCTCCTGGGATTGATAATTTCGGATGAATATGTGTACACAATGAACGAGCTGAGGTGAGCAAGTCTTGATCATCTGACTTATTCGACAATTCGACGGAACAAACACCAGATGGTTGTGGTGATGGTTCACATCCACAACACAAAATACAAGGTCCAATAAACGGTGGACTACAAGAACATTTGATGTGGGGATCACCGGCAGAATACTCATCTAACACACAAAAGAGTAAATTATCAACAATTTGAAAACAACTTACTAAACTCTTGCATGATATGAGCATATTTCGGTGAGGAGAGATTGTGGTAAGTGTGTCGCGGCTTTCTTTTGTTAACACAGTAAGGAGACACACGTGAACAGGTTATTTCTTTGGAAGTGTATCTGCTATTACTGCTACCACTATTATTATTGTTATTATTATTATTATTAGCCTCCTCATCCTTGAATTCTTTTCCTGAATTATGAACATAATGCTTCAATTTTTCAAGTTCTTGCATCCACATTCTAGATGATTCTATTTCACTCCGTAACCATTGCCAATTCGAGTGTGTCACAGAACGAGTATACAACCAGGACTGTTTAGAACTATACAACAACAATAACAATAACAAACAGGTTTATTTTATTCAAAAATTAAAACAAACCTGGACAAAGCTTTATTCATCATTTCCGCTTCATCATTATCATCATCATTGTCTGTACTACTCTCTGTATCTTCATTTGTCAAATTCCATGACATAAGACTAGGCACAAAAGAACTAGGCAGTGATTCATCACCATTATCACCATTTTGTGATCCTGAAGAGTCATGACAAGCTGACAAGCGTGTCAATAAGTCTAAGGCTCGTGTACGAATACGAAGTAGACGATCATTACATACATTTAAACGTTGTGTCAGCGAAGCATGATATTGAATAGTATTTTCAGAATTTGTAATCCGTTTGTCACGTACGGATCGCCTTTTTGGCACTGTTGTTGTTGATGATGAGGAGGAGGAAGATATCTGACTAGTTTGTACATTAGGACTTGAAGTGTTTTTGTCAACAACTGGAGGGGAATTTGATATGCTACTACTGCTGACTGGAATTTGATGGTGAATACTAATAGATTGGTCAACAGCAACAACAACAGCAGCATTTCCCACTGTAGTATCACCATTATCATCATCAGCAGCATTACTTTTACATGGATCAGAGGTACCATTTAACTGTATAGGCATTGAAACAAGATAAGGACCTGTTCGTGGAGCCATTATAGAATTGGTTGTTTTTCTTTCAATAGTATTATCAGAAATGTTATGGGGTTGGGCAATTGAAATAAGACTATCCCCACTTAGAATGGAATCTTCATGATGCTTTGGAAGTCCATTTGTATTACACGTGGCCATACAACGAACTGCGCCTTTGCATGCCTAAAAAATAAATTCAGAAAGCAATAACTATTTATTACTGAAAGAAAAAAGATTTGTACATAAATAACGTGCTCACAAACTAGTATGCGGTCGCAGTAAGTACATGAAGATAAAGAAGACTGGTCAGGAAATATTTCTCTGATGTCTATGCTTTTAGGTTTAATATATTGACTTGTTCCACTATTAATTTGACCCATCACTTCTTTCAGAAAGCAGAAAGATCAATCTGGTACAGGACTTGGAAGTAGAAATCAAACAGACATATCAATATGACGGGAACCCTCGTTGCTGCAAACAGATGAATCACATATTTCAATTCGAATAAAACAGAAATACTTGAAAGGAAAGAATACATAATCAAAGTCCTATGGTACTATAAGATTAGAAATGGAGGACAGTAAATTAGGAGATGAGTCTCAATGTAGAACTTTGCATAGAAGTGCAGCAGTTCAAACTGACATACTCCATACACTACGAAAAGTAGAGAAAAGAAAAGAATCAGAAGAACTACAATGGACAGATATGTAAGGCAGTAAGAACAATAGCACAGAGAAACATGGGGACCTAATGGATCTAGGAAATGACAAAGAGTGAATGCATTTGCGTCGTCGAGAACAGTTTTGAGCCGTATTACCGAGAGTCTTACGCTACCGGTTCATAGCATTTTGAGGACGACAGCCATAGTCTACATCTCCCCACATAGCTTGGCTCAAATCTACTATCAAAGCCTTCATAGTCTCTGTCTGTCTGTTTTCGACATAGAACTTTGCACAAATGTGCGGAAGTTCAAGTCGCCACATTCCGTGTAGCACGCGAAGCAAGAGAAGAAAGTACAAGAAAAGCATAATAGAAACAGTGAGCAGAGGTGTGAGACAAAGGAGTAATAAAGAAATACAAAACAGTTTCATTGAAGATCATAAGTCACAGGGAGTGGATGCATCTGCGCCACTGAGAACGATTTTGAGCCATGTCACCAATTGTTTCCAACCATAGATTTTTACCGTCCCGAGGACCCCAGCCTGGAAGTCTACACCTTCCTACGTGGCTTAGACCAACTGTTGTGGATTTCATTGACTGATGCCAAGTTTTTGTTTGACCGCCGCTAGCTTTTTTCCAGCCTGACCCTATATCCGCTAACATTGCTCGTCGAGGGAGGCGATGGCTTGGCATACGTAACACATGTCCTAACCATCTCAGTCTTTGTAGCTTCACGACTTCGTCGATTGATTTCCCCTGTTTACCTAGAACTCTACGCCTAACCTCCATGTTGCTCACCTTATTATGCCACTTTACACGGGAAATAGAACGCAGGCACCTATGATCAAAGACAGCTAGTCTTTTCATGTCTTCCACTCTCAGTGGCCAGGTCTCACAACCATAAAGGAGGACGGAGCGGACTGATGAGCAGTACACCCGCCCTTTGGTCGATAGTCGAACATCTCGTCTACGCCAGAGTCGGCGTAAACTAACAAATGCGAAACGAGCCCCTTGTATTCGTGCTGAGATTTCGTCAGAGATCAGCCCGTTGGGGCTGATGGTACTTCCCAAATAAGTGAAGCGGTCAACGTGCTCTACCACTTCACTTCCTATTTTTAAACTAGGCGTCGATGTAGTCCAGTCCTGTAACATCATCTTGCATTTGGCGGGAGCGAATCGCATGCCAAACATTCGTAGATTGCGGCTCAAGGTGTTTAGAAGACTCTGCATTTCGTCAGCGTCTTCGCCTAGAAGGACTATATCGTCTGCATATTCCAAGTCAACGAGATTATTCCCCGGTAGCAAGTCAATCCCTGAGTCGCTGAAGTCACCTAGGGTTAAGTCCATTAACACATCTATGATGAAGTTGAATAGAAAAGGAGATAATGGGCATCCTTGACGGACACCACTGGTCGTCATCAGTTCAGATGACAGCTCGCCGTAAGCCCTCACCTGGCTGTATGAGTACGAATAGAGTGCCTTAATCAGTGCAATATATTTTCTTGGAATTCCCTTTACAGCCAAGCATCTCCAGAGAACTTCCCGATCGACAGAGTCGAATGCTGCCTTTAGGTCAAGAAATATAATGACTGTTGGACGCCGGTAGGAATGCCTATGTTCTAGAATCTGTCGGAGGGTGAAGATATGATCAATACACCCTCTTCCTGGTCTAAAGCCTGCCTGGCTCTCTCGTGTTTGTGCTTCCCGAGCACCACTCAGTCTACGCATGATTATTGAGCCTAAGACTTTAGATACTATATTAGTCAAGCTAATCCCTCTGTGATTATCACAGGAAGACTTGTCTCCCTTCTTGTATATGGGGATAATCAGTGACTTACACCAACCCGATGGGACTTCTTCTGATTCCCAGACGCTGCCTAGTACCTCAGTTAATCCGGACAGTAAGCTGTCTCCACCGTACTTAAATACCTCTGGAGTCATTCCATCAGGTCCCGCTGCTTTGCCTAGTTTCAGATTGGTGACAGCTTTAGTAACCTCAGTTAGTGACGGAGGACCTGTGTCTATATCCCATTCAGGGAGGTGTTGGATGCTCGGAAGGTTGAGCGTGGCTGTGGGCAAATTAAACTGCTCCTCATAATGCTCTTTCCAACGATCCAGTCGTCTATCCTGTGAGCTAATTATAGTGCCATTTTTTTCCGAGATTGTCTCACTAATGATTTGTCTTCTCCCACCCGTTTCCCTGATGAGTCCAAAGAGTTGCCTGGTGTTGCCTATCCTCAAAGCTTTCTCCATCTCTTTGGCTTTTGTCGCCCACCACTGTTCACGGTCCTTGCGGAGACTTTTCGTAAGTTTCCTCTTGTGCAGCTTTCGCTCCTCATTGAATTCGGAGCTCGCCGGAATAAGTCTTCTAGCATCTATCAGTTCGGATGAGGCGGTGGAGATCCAGTGGTTTTTACTCACCTTTGGGTTTACCTTATTCACAGCTTTTACAGCTGTATCTATGGCTGCCTGGATATTTTTCCAAGCTTCTTCAGGGTGAGCACAGCTGTCGAACACAGATATGTGTTTAGCTAGTTCTTCCTGAAATACGGATTTAGTTTCCTGATCGAGCTGGGGACGTGATGGTTTTACCGCCAGCTGTTTCCTACGTCCGTTCAGTCGTAAGCACACCCGAGCGCGGACCAGTGCATGGTCGGTATCTACGCACGTGTTCCAGAAGGAGCGACAATCTCCTACCGACCCACGCCAACGATAGCTTATTGCTATGTGGTCTATTTGTGTCCAGCGTTGGTTTGATGAAGGGGGTCTCCAAGTCAAACAGTGTCTCTCCTTGTGTTTAAAGTTAGTGCTTACAAGAAACAAATGATTATCAGAGCAGAACTGTAGGAGACGGTCACCGTTGTCGGTTCGCTGGCACGGAACTCCATAGGTGCCACCGACATCCTTCTCAGATTGACACAATTTCCCTACTTGAGCGTTAAAGTCACCAGCTAGAACGACTATGTCTGAGCGTTTAGCCTTTCCACCAAACTAGACAGCTTTTGGTAGAACTCATCCTTCGTTTCATCTGAACTGCAGTCAGTGGGGGCGTAGGCGGAGATTACGAAAAGGCATCGGCGAGTAGTGCAGTCCTTCCTCCTTCTTACTGATCCGTTCAGGCGGACAGCACACATTCGGCTATCTACCGGGATCCAGTCAAGCAATGTCTTTTCTGCCCTAGTACTCAAAGCTATCCCTACGCCAGCTAATCCTCGTGAACTAGCTGTGGCATCTCCTGACACCCTCAAGGTGAATTTTGCAGATTCAACCTGTTGGCCAGGTGGGGTTAGGTGAATAACCACACTTGGGTCTTGTATGCGTGTTTCTGAAACACAGCATACATCAATGGCTCGTGATGCCAGGGTCTTGGCTAGTGATGCTTGTTGTCCTATTTGGCAAAGTGTCCTAACATTAAGAGCTCCTATATGAAATTGGTGGCGCGGCTTTAAGAGGCTGTCGGTGGTGGTTTTTTGGCTTCCATCGTTTTTAGTGGACGCAGAGTGGAGAGGAAGTGGAGAGCTATCAAGTCGAGGAGTTGCATCAGTGGAAGGAAGGCAAGATGATAGAGATGAAGATGAAGACAAAGATGAGTGAGTAATAGAGAGGTTTCGTGTGCATTTCGGATTGTGAGGGCGATTGTTACTTCCCGGCTGCCCACACCGTGGAAGTTGGTTGCGTGACCGCAGAGCCCAGGGGACAACTGCTTGAGGCCGGTCACACGCGGCCTGTTTTTGTTTGTTCTTTTTGTTTGGTGTGTCTCAGTAGCAGATTTATCACTCCCGCCCTGTGACACGGCAGCAGGAAGCGCGGTCGTTGTTAATCCGGGCCACGGCCGATCCGGCATGAAATTTTGTAATTTTGTATTGGACATGATGTTGGATTGGGTAGCTGCTTTTTGTTTAACCGCTATCCAAACAACCTGCCTGGCATGGTAGAACCTCAAGAGACATAAGTCTCAGCCAGTATAGCTTGATTAGGTCATTGCGGTGTTCAAGCCCGACCACCACATCAAGGTAGCAGCTTTCATAGACTACTTCTACGTTTTGATTTGGCCAACCTTAACTGTTTTTTTTACTTTCAATATGTCCTTTTAACTTGACCTAAGGTTTATTTTCTCACCCTTTAACTTTTTGTTATATATATGCTGAGATTTTGTAAATTCCGGTTTAATGAGTTCAGGTTGCCCATACATAGATTCTATGCTCCGCCTAATCCCCCCACCCTCAGAATATTCTGAGGCATGATACACATCCATTCACAGGCAATGAAATACAACCTGAAAGGTGCAGCCTAAAGCTTAAGCGTCTGACCTTCAATAAACGGGTTTACCTCCAAACCTTGTTCACACCTTTACACATAAAATACAGGACCAGCTTAAAAGAGGTGAGACCGATGGAGCAGACACTGAGGTACGACTTGGGAAAAAAGATAGCAGCCCATGTACCAAACTTAAAAGCAGTAATACATGTACAGGAACTGAATGACGACACAATGGACAACGACATACAGAAAAGCGCAAATCT